GTAAGGGTTTTTTAATCTGGTAGCAGATTTTTCCCTTATAAGCTTAGTTCATATAATTAGCTACGTTTTATTATATGCAACAATTTTTATTTTTAACTTGAACTAGGTATTAATAGTTTGAAATTTAGTTTCGATTAGATTAAAAGCAACCTAGAACCTTGATAAGGCATAAAAGAACCTATTGTTGATCTAAAAGAACCACTCTACTTAGGTAGGATACCTTTTAGGGAGATAAATACTTTTTGCAGTAGATCACATCTGAGTGGCGTAAAGCAAATCGAGTGAATCTGAGGTTGCAAGGGTAGGATACTTTAGTAGTTTAGAACATTAGTTGTTTTCTTACTTTTGTATTATGATTTCTTGATAAATCTTCCACTAATAAACCAAGGGTAAGGTCACCTAAGTTAAAAAAAAAAAATATATATATAATTCCAGCTAAAATAGTAATTTGCTAATCTTGATCAATTAAAAAGTTTAGTTAACTAATAAATATTAAATAACTAGTCAACTAAACATTAGTTTATTCTATTAATTACTCTAGGTCACTCAGCATACAACCCTGTTGAGAGAAGTATGGCATCTCTTTTAACAAAACTTGCAGGCATAGTCCTGCCTGTTAACAAACATAGCACCTATCTTGACTCGCAGAGCAAAGTTGTTGACCTGGAGCTAGCAAGAAAAAATTTTAAATATGCAGGAAACCTTCTCTACGACCTGTGAAAACAGGACAATATATTCGGAAAACTAGTTATAACTGAATATGTTGATATAGAAAGTATCCTGATTTCAGATGATATACCTTGGGAATGAATAGAAATCTATACAAGGATTTGCAAATACTCTTTAGATGTAAAGAAATGTAATGATATCAAATATTGCTCCTCTAAGCAATGCGAGAAAGCCGCTAGCCTTCTTGCTTCAAATGATAGTTTTCTTCCCTCTCTTGTAATAGAGAAAGACAGCCATTATATTAATTCAATACATCTATTAGAGTACCTTGATAAACCAAAAATACTGGGGTATGACTAGTATTGCCCCTTTATAGCTGATAATTATACAAAACACTTCTGCTTATTTGTGAGAAATATTTCCTAACAGTTTCAATGGTTGCTACCCACAAAACAAACCAACATTTAAAAAAAGTCTGTCTGGCTAAACGTGAACTAAGAAGGCTAAAAAAAACTGTAACAACAGCAAAAAAGCAAAAAACTAAATAGAAATTTTCATTAATTTTTTTGTTTAATAAATTTC